AGAGCTGCCTGGAACTACGTTCGCCGTGCGTTTTCCTGAAAATAATTGCACACCTCAGAACGTTCGTCAGCCAATCAGATTCAAGCATTCAACGGCCCCGTAGTATAATGTTACAGTAATACATTCAAATTAAATGAAAACTGAAGATATAAAAAGCTAATTCAAAATACTATTAATGACTATAATAGTATATAAATAAACAATACTAAAATAACACTGAACACTGTATTGACCAATCAGATTCCAGAACTAGAACTATCCATTTGATACTTTTTATACAAATTAAATACCATTTTATATTTTATCCAAATTAAATCCATAATTCTAGATACAAGTGATTGGGATTGAATTAAGTGAAAGTGCTAGGAAATCCCCTGTACCAATGGAAAATGGCCAAGGCAGAAAGAGTGAGAGAGAAATCTCCTACAAAAGGGCAAAGATAATCTCACTGGTTTCCAGGGATTCATGATGTTGTTACATGGTTGATTCATGTTACAAGCTCTAATCTCAACAACTGTCCACACACACACTCATTTTGTGAGCTACTAACAGATGGTCATACTGTGAGTACTTAAAAGTGAGAGCCGGACAGATTATTATTATCATAGGTTCTGGAATGTAATATCAAATGCTGAACACACACGTGTATGATGTTCAAACTCTATCTGTTTAACTGCACTGGAGTTTGTGAGCCTGCAGCTGTGCTTTTTTGAGAGTCAGTGGAGGGTCATTATGGTCAAAACTGAAAGACAGGGAGTAAAGGAGGAGAACTCTGGTGTTTAGAGCTGTTTAGTCGCTGGTCTAGAGTTATGAGATTTTTCCTGCTCAGAGCTGTAAGACAATTGGGTGTCACATTTTACAGAAATGTGTGCATGTGTTGTGTTGGAAAAATTGCTACTGTTCCCTTATTTTCTTGTATACCTTTGCTCTCTCTTTCTCTAGAATATGAGTGATGCTATGGCTGTGCTGCATAAACTGCAGACAGGTCTGGATGTAAACGTTAAGTTCACAGGTGTGCGGGTATTCGAATACACACCCGAGTGCATTGTCTTTGACCTGCTGGATATCCCACTCTACCATGGATGGCTGGTTGACCCACAGGTTAGCATCCTGGTTCACATCCTTCTAGAAAAGCAAATTCCACTGAAACATGTGATGTCACCACATGTCATTTGTGTGCTTTAATTTCAAAATCTTACTCTACAGTAGTAACATGCAGAGTTTCACAAATACATGATATGCACTGTGCAGTAAGTGGCTTTAGTAAAAAGAAAAAAATGTATTACATTTAAAAATTACTTAAAAAATGAAATAGATCAAAATAATTTAATACTACTACTAATAGTATACATACTCATAAATATTTATACATATATATATATATATATATATATATATATACTAATTTATCAAATTAATTGGAAATAATTGCTTAGTATCATCATCACTGGGCTACAGTCCACAACACCATTTTTAATTGAGTTTGCCCGTCATTATTTTTTAGTACTGCACAATGATTGAACAAAACAGTGTTTTGTAAAACAGCTAGAAACCTTGGAGTTGTGATTGATGATAAGCTGAATTTCTCAGACCACATTGCTAAAACTGCCCGGTCCTGCAGATTTGCTTTATACAACATTAAGAAGATCAGGCCCTTTCTTTCAGAACATGCAACACAACTCCTTGTTCAAGCTCTTGTTCTAT